GAAGTGACCCAAAGCAAAAATGAGATGCTAAGTGGGCGGAGAAACTAGAGTCCTGGAGAGGGACCACGTTGTGGTCAATGTCATTAATGCCACTGAGCAACTGGTGCAGAAATTGTCAAGTGGGGACCTCACTGGCTGTGTAAAGCTTCACCAAAAACTTGATAAGGGGATGATTGATACTGTTCTCTAACATAAGATGACAATGATGTCTCCAAGGTGAACCAGAAAAATATATAAACTATATATCCTTGAATGGATATGAGACTTGCACCTAATTCTAGCCCCAATCTAAGAACAAGTTGTTCTTATGACATGGCCCTACTTGATGGTAGAGCTCATGAAGAACTCACTGAAGATATGAGTGCTATACTGCCAAGTGAGGTGAAGAAACTAGATGGTACCCAGCTAGCAGAAAGAATCACATCTGGTCTTAAAGGCTCATTTCCAAACAAGCAGCCGTTTAAAGTGAGGCATCACCTAAGTCCACATGGAAGCAGTACACTAGCTTGCGTGATCCAGGAACTATAAATAATATCATCTAAATCTAAAGGAGGGAATAGCACTAGAGCTTCAGTTGTAAACACCTGCTTTGCAGAAGGCTATGGATGTGAATAACCTGCTAACATGCAGAGCACATTGGAAAGTGGATTGTTGCAGATGGAGTTAGCTTAAAATTCAGCACCTATCATTCGCTCTCCCTATGATCCATTGAAATTTGTTCTAGTTTTAGTATGTTCTTCTTTTAGTTAAGTTTGTTTGTATTTTAGTGTTTTTCCGTATCTGAAATCCAGGATAGGGAAATCTATAGAGACAGTAATGGATCCTTGGAGGTATGGCAGGGAGGGGGCACTGGGGAAGGGGGGCAGAGGAGCTAATAATGATGAGCGCAGGAATGAACAGGTTCTAAAACTGATTGTGGTGATGATTGTACAACTTTTCCGGATGTGCTTGAACTTTTGCATCGTATGATATATGAATGATATGCCAATAAAACTTGGAGGGGGGAGACATAACTCAAAGGGGGCAAACACAAATTTTAAAAACCCCACAAAATCATGCTTTCTCAGCAGTCGTCATGAACGGGGAAGGAAGTGACACTCTCTCGGTCCTCCTCCTAAGTCTAACCATGTCTCCCGTGACTCTTAAAAGGGCCCTCTTCCTCGGCCCCTACTTCCAAAGAGGATCCGGAAGGTCTGTCTGCTCCCTGCTCCTGATGCGTTCATCCATTTACAGTGTCACAGTCCCCATAGACGACTCTTCAGTCTGCTGGCCCAGCAAGTGACCAGTTAGCAGGATGCCTTCAGGCTCACCCGTATAACTTTCTAGGCCTTCACGCTTAAAACAACCCAAAACAAAACGAATGGTCCTGCACCCCACAAATGAGCCAGCCCTAAACAGCCCCTGGGGGTTCCTTTCCATCAGAATTGCCACGTCTCTCCCATCACCCCCGCTTGGAGTCACATTTTGATTTGAGGCTGCTCATCCCCGGAAACCCAGTTGAATGTGCCTCTCCCGAGGCATGACCCACAATGGACGGATTTCCTTCCCATTTCCTGATGGCCTCTGAAGAGGCCAGCTTAATAGCTATTATGTACCGAGGGTGAGCTCAGGTCCAGTACCCTCTGTTATTTCATTTAATCCTCACAACAAGCTCGAAGGTAGTTGATTAACGATTCTTGTTTTACAGGTAAGCAAACTGAAACCCAAAGAGGTGAACTAACGAGCCCTCGTGACCCAGCCAACGGCAGCGCTGGGCTGTAACTCTGTCCGGTGGCCAGCAAAGCCCTCTTCACCACTGCGCAGGGTGCTGGCTTCCTTGGATTCATTTTGTACTTTGCAGCCATATTTGTCCTCGTAAAAACACGGTCATGATAATTAATGATGCCTGTCTGTTCAAAAACTCCCATGGTTCCGCCTGCCTACCACATTAAGTCTAAATGACTTCATCTGATTTACAAAGCTCTTCCCAGCCACTATTTATCTCTTCAGCTTAACCTAGAACCATAGCTGCTCTTTCAACACGTGACCAGTGCTCCTCTCAAACAAGCCATTCCCTCCTCACAAATGCCACTCCTTGCTCCTTCTCTGAAGGCATGCGACTGCTTCTGCTTGGAATTCCTTACTCACACTCCCACCCATTTCTGAGAACCCCAGCTCAGGATCTGCCCTTTTAGTGAACCTATTTGATTCCTTCAGGAGCTCTGGTGGCATGCTGGAGTACACATTGAGCTGCTAAGGCACGAGGTCATCGGTTCGAATCCACCAGCTGCTCCGAGGGAGAAAGGTGAATCCTGTCTACATCTATAAAGATGTGACCTCTCAGAAACCCACAGGGACGGTTCTACTCGGTCCTACGCGGTCACCATGAGTCAGAATGAACTTGATGGCCATGAGATTTCCTCGTTTCTGCAAACCCACATCATATCTCTCTGGTACAACCAAGTGTCCTCTGGAGATTGAAAAGGCAAACATACCCCGAGGCACCGACACCATCAACAGGAAAGACATTAAAGCCAAGTAACAAAATGGGAGCAGTCTTTAGCGACGTGTCCAGTGATGGAGACCGCGCTGGTGCACACTCAAGTCTCTGAACCCCTCCAGGGATCCAGCTCAGCCCAGAGGCCTGCAGGCCATGCGATGCAACTCTTCCACTTCATGCTTCGGTTTGTGGCAGTTCCAAAAACGATCTAAAAGATGTTTCAAGACAAAACAGCTCTTCTGTAGTCATGATCTGTTTGTCTGATTTTTAATTTCCCCCCACAGTTTGGGTATGACTTTTAGAAATGTTCCTGATGTGTTGTGGAGAATATACACAGCAAAAGCCACATTGATTCGGCATTGATTGCGTTCTTGGAGTTGTGCATCTTCCTTTCCTCCACCAATAGCCAGCTCCCTAGTCCCCCCACCTCCCACATGGGTTCCTATCTCATCAGCAAAGAGTTTGAACCTCGGAGGGGTTACTTTACTCCAAGATGGGATCGGGAAAGAAGGGCCCGTGCATCTGGTAGAAAAACTGGGATGGAGCAAGAGAGGTGTTGTTTTACAGGGCAGCGATAAGGGATCGGAGCCCAAAGTCGTTGCTCACTGCAGTTATTGTTTGTGTGTGTTTTTGAACTGAGAATCGGGTGTACGCAGCCGTGTCTGTGCCGCCTGCGTTTTTAGTATTGCCACTGTGAAGGGGAGGAGAAAACAAGGTTTAGGAGCCTAGGTCACTTTGAGAAAAGGGTTTGATCTAAGTTAATGGCAGAGGGGCAGCTTGTGATTAAGTAGGGCATTGTTGTCCCGAAGGCGACCCAGAAACATGAGACACGGTGGAGCCGCACATGGGCTGCGTTCTCAGAAGCTGGCGGTCTGAAAGCTCTCTTGCACTGACTTACAGCAGCGCTCTGTTGCCCAAGCAAGCGGAAGAGGACGAGCAGGCGAGCACAGAGTTTAACCCCCCTTGGGCTCCGCTAGAAACATCTTCCTCAACAAAAGCAGAACTCTTTTTTTCATCCATGTTCTCCCAGAAGATCTCAAATCCCAGAAACAGATAACAAGTCTTTATCGAGAATATATGGAAAGTTTTGTGCAAGTATTTCAGCCTTACAGAATTACCAACAGGAAAGAAAAAAAAAAAGAATTACCAACAGGCCTTTTGATAACCATTTTGGGTGTGTGTGTGTGTGTGTGTGTGTGTGTGTGCACGTGCACTCGTGCCAGAACTAGGATACTAGGTTTTGTTTTGATTGTTAGGGTTGTTTTTCTAATCATACACCAAAAGCTGGGATAGCTCAGGAGTTCACGTCCTTTCAGATGAAGAAATCCAGGCGACTTTGAAAGGCTGAATCAGTGCCGGCTGCTCATCAGGGCCCTGGAGTTGTATAATCTGAGGAGTGTGTTCCCAGCGTCTGTAGCCTGAGCTTGTTGAATGGATGTTACAGTTGATCATGTAGTCTCTTAAGAAATGTGCCAGATATTTGCCTGTCTCCCATCCTCCATTGAGCATATCATAATTGATGAAGCCCTCTCTTATCCATGATCTCGTTTTAACCTCATCGGTTGTCATCACACAGATCCCACGCGTGCGTGGCTTTAAGAACAGAAACGGATTTTCCCACAGTTCATGAGGCCACGTTCGAATTCAGAGTCTAGGTCTTAGAAGAGAGCCTTCCGTGTCTATCTAGTTCAGGCTTCTCAGAACCAGCAGCCCTGGGGATCCCGGGTTCGCAGCGCCATCTGCGTCTGTCTCAGGATGGTGTCCGACTTCCCCCTGGGCCTGGCTCTGTGTCTCATGGACTCTTTTTATGACTCAGAAGTGATTAGATTAAGAACCAATCCTATTTGGGTGTGATCTAATTAACATAACAAATACTATTTCCAAATAGTATCACCCCACACCTATGTTGTTGTTATGTTGTTAGGCGACATGGAGTCGGTGTGGATGCACAGCGACCCTGTCTGTGTACAGCAGAGTGCAGCACCCCTGGTCCCGTGCCATCACCACAGGGTGTTGACCTTTGAACCCATTGTTCCAGTTACTGTATCAGTCCATCCCATGGAGGGGCTTCCTCTTTTTCGCTGCCCTGCTGCATTACCAAGCACGGTACTCTTTGCCAGAAACCGGTCTCTCCTGGCAACAGGTCCCAAGTACACGAGACGAAGTCTTAACGATCCTTTTGCCGCTAAGGAACATCCTGGCTGTACTTCTTCCAAGACAGATTTATTTGTTCTCTTTGGCAGTCCACGGGACTTTCAGCATTATTGGCCAGCCCTGTAATTCAAACGCGTCCCACACACCAGTATAGGAGTTAGGATTTCAATGTCTATTTGGGGGGTGGGGGATGGAAGAGGTGTCCTAATTCAATCCACCAAGATTGTTTTGCAAATCTAAAAACAGACTTTGAGAGGTCAACTGATCTGCCCAGCTTCACCTGGTTTCCACGTGGTGCCACCAGTCAGAGATCTCAATCTTGGGCTTCCTCGCCAGTATCTTTCCATAACCCACACGCCCTTTGAAGTCTGGTCAGTGCTTCATTGTCTGCCTTTTCTCTTAACACAGACTCAAACAAAGGACTTTTTATTTCTCTCCCCAACCGGGAAATAAAGGATCCCCTAACGAGTGCTTCTGCAACCCAGGGCAACAGTGTACCAGATCCGAAGTTAGACTCATTCCAACTGGGGACACAGGTAATGTATTCCCTTTCCAGATGATGTTGTCAATAATGAATACGAATAATTCAATGGACTCGAAAACTATCTATGCAGATCTAAGAGGACTTGTTTGATGAAGGCATTTTCGATCCTTTCAGGAAAGGTAGGACAGGCTTCATTTCAACGCCCCCTCTCGCATTAACCTATTATCAAATATGAATAGAACATTATGCAGGTAAACATAGCGCATTTTATGCCAAGCATTTGGGTGCTCCCAACAGAGATGCCAACTTAGAGTGTTAAGGGCTTTCAAAATTTCCCCTCTCTACTCAAAATCTCCACCTCAAGTTACCTTGCTTGCTGGTTGTACATTCTACTTCTGCCTCACAGTGAAAGAGGAAAAAAAGGAAAGTTTAAGGAGTTTTTGTTGTTGTTGTTTTTTAAGCTTGGATATCGTGGATAGTGTTGGAGGTAGAGCTATCAGGGAAGATAGAGCAAAAATGAAAAAATGACTTTTCAGTGAAAATATTGGTAGGGGAGGGGAGGCAACCATCGATGTATATGCATGAGTATGATACAGGGAACAGAACTGAGTACGTTGGATTCAACTCCTCCCTTTCCCCACTTTTTCTTTGATAAGTTTATGCAATCAGTGAGATGGCTGATAAATTAGACCCAATGAAGGAGAAAGTTAAGTCAACTCACAATTAGGATAATTAACCCTAATACTGGGGGAAATTACTAGGATTTTTTTAGTTTCCGTTTGAGTATATAACATCTTTATCTTATAAAAAGACAAGAGTTGATTTTAGTAGGCTTTCCTTTGGTGATACTATGCAGGCACCTTAGAAATAATCTCAATCACTTTTTTTTTAATCTTACATTTAAAGGAAATGGAGACAAAGGTCACTCCAATTGAGTTAAGTAGCACTTCTAAGATTTTAAAAAAAAGAAAAGTTCTCCAAAGTGGAAAATGAAATAACTTGCTATCCTTTTTTTCAGTCTAAGGAATCAGGAAATGATTCCTGACGATGTCTGATTACCAAGAAGATACTGACTACCATCGTTTAAAATGAATGAGCAAGCTCTAGGTGCTTGTCCTATTGCTCTGATCCTTGCCTCCATGGGTCTCAAGTTCATTTTCAGACAATCACAGCTCCCAGAAATTTTGGGGGCACCTCAGCTTTGTTGGTTTCGTGACATCGGGGAAAACAGCTATCTGAAGCAGAGGAAATATTTCTCACTGCTTGTATTGCCCTTGCGAGGAGCCCTGGTGGTGCGGAGGTTACAGATTGGGCTGCTTACTGCAAGGCTAACAGTTCGAAACCACCAGCCTCTCCGTGGGAGAAAGATGAGGCTTTCTACTCCTATAAAGAGTTACAGTCTCAGAAACCCACAGGGGCAGTTCTACCCTGTCCTATTGGGTTGTTAAGAGTCAGAAGCAACTCAGTAAGTGAGTTTACCACTTAAGAGAATTTTACATTTTGGAGGAGTCTAAAGCAACTCCGGAAGCCCTATGGTCTTATCTGCTTTATAAGCTTAGATGGGAGCTCTAATCTGAAGGTCTGTGTCCCTATCTCACACAGATGGACGTCCTCATTAATAGGGAAGTCTTCTGAACACTTGGTCTAATAAGTTCACATCTGTTTGCCCATGCACTCCCTTGAACTGAAACTCTCACACTTCTTTTAGATGCAGCAAGTGGCAAGAAGGGAGATGTCAAGTGACAATCACCAGGAAGATGGTAAATATTTTGCCCGTGGAGCCTGTTCCGCCTCCCCCCCTCCTCCCGCCCCGCCTTCTCTCCCCCCGCCCAAACTAGAGAACTGGGGGTACCGTGGGATTTGGGAGGAAATGAGAATGTCTCCATCCTGGGTTTGGTCAACAACTCTTTGCTGTTTTCATGAGTTCAACCATCAGTTCAGCATTAGGTTGCCAACCACAAGGTCAGCAGTTCAAACCCACCAGCTGCTCTACAGGAGAAAGATGAGGCTGTCTGCCCATGAGGAGCTACCGTGATGCTTAGTGACCCATGACATTTTTCTGATTGAAGAGTGCTATTCTGACCCCCTTTGTTAGTGATATTTTGTACTTGCTGAATGTTCTGTTTCTTTATCTTTCTTACCTGCTTTTGAATTTTTAAAAAATCAGTTCAATTTTCACTATACTAGTTTGAAAGTTAGAGACTGGTTCTATACTTTTAAGATTACAAAAAAAAGAAAAGAAAAGATAGCTTATGCAATTTAAAAATCCCTTACACCTTAGGTCTTTTCTTGAATAATGCAAAGCCCTTAGAACACCCTACTCCATTAATCTCTTCAGATTTATATTCTATTGTTATGGATTTTTAGTCTCTCTCTTTTTTTAAAGATGAGCCCTGGTGGTTACATGTTAAGCTGCTAACTGCCAGGTCCAGAGTTTGAAGCCACCAGCTGCTCCGAGGGAGAATGATGAGGCTTCCTACTCCCATAAAGCATTTCAGTCTCTGAGGAGCTGATACCAAGGGCTTAAGTGGAGAGCAAATGTTTTGAGAATGATGAGGACAACTAATGTACAAATGTGCTTGACACAATGGATGGATGGATTGTGATAAGAGTTGTATGAGCCCCCAATAATATGATTTTTTTAAAAAGTTTCAGTCTCAGAAACCCACAGGGGCAGTTCTGTCCTGTCCTACCGGGTCGCCGAGTTGGAAGTGACCCAAGGCAGTGAGGGAGTGAGGTGTGGATTTCTTTGTATTCATCCTGCTCGATATCAACTGTGGGTTATGTCCGTCTTCCATTGATTCTGGAGAGATCGGCAGATACGGTTTGCCTTCCATCTTTCTCTCTTGTCCTTCTGCGACTCTTGATTGAAGAATGAATGTGTGAGATCAAAGATCCACTAACTTTCGTCTATGGGCGCAATAAATAGGATTACAGCTATTGCCATTTGTGGGTGGGTGCTGCGTCCACATGGTCTCAATAAAAACAGTGTCGAGGACTGGACATACCTTGCAGAGCGGTAGTGGGGAGATGAGTCACTTAGGGTTCAGTATAACAATAATGAAACCAACAACCTTCCTCTAGTTCTTAAACGCTTCCTCCCCCCAACTACCAGGACCCCAATTCTGCCTTGCAGATCTGGCTAGACCAGATGATGCACAGCGGTACAGATGGGTATTGGAAAGGCAGGGAATCTAGGACAGATGAACCCCTCGGGACCAGGGGTGACAGTGGCGATACCAGGAGGGAAGGGGGTGTAGAAAGGGGGAATTGATCACA